TATATATCCCTGTATAAAAAATGGTTGAATGAATATTGCTCGCCACATTTCGTGCCAGAATTTAAATTACGATTATCTTACAAAAACGAGAAGTGTTGAGGTTGTAGCCATTTAGATCAAACCTATAAAAAAAACAATGTTATGTGGGATCTCGTGCCACAGTACGAGAGCCGTTCGCACTCGTAGTATATGTTGAGAATGACTCGCAGCTACTACCGCACCAAATTTTAGCTCAGTACCTGTACAACTGACCAGGCTGTAGCTGGTTATGGATTTTCAAATGTTCATTAGCTGCACTGGCCATCTTGAATTGATGTGACTCCATAAGTCAATCAAGTTCCAGATCCAATTATTACTTTGTCTCATTAAAATTTGTACAGTGGTTCGTGATATTTTGACAAGAATCAGTCTTGAGTCCAATAATTAGAGTCAAAGTTTTAAAAAAACAGATCTCACGTAATCAGTTAGCTTTCAGAGTCTAAGTTAGGGATGAATCTCAACTACTACAAGACCAGATTTTAGCTCAGCATTTGTCAAATTGATCAAGTTACAGCCAGTTTGCGTTTTATAACGTCAGCTGGGTGACCAACTCGAATCAGACAAACTCCAAAAAGGCATTCAGTTGTAGATGTGTACCCAACGATTACTTTCTGAGACGTTCATTAAATTCTGTCCAGTGATTCATAAGATATTTTGCTAATACAACAACCAGACAGACAAAAAACATTATCTCCCTTTTACTTTTAGCAGCTGGAGATGATAAAGCTATGATTACATATTAAATCATCCGCATTTGTTACAGAAATTTCACTGCCTTGCGTTGTGCAGCCAGTGGTCAAATAGACAGTCCCCTTGTATTTGTTCTAGTTAAAGAGACAAAGATAACATGCATGTTCCAAAACAGATGCCATGAAAAAGATATCCTGATGCATGCTCAAAGATGCTCTTCCATTTGAAACAAAAGTCACTTAACAAGATCTACAGATTTTGTGTCAAAGACAGGATACCATGTTAGGAATAACCTACATTTGCTCATAAACAAAAAATGTTGCTTACACAGTATATTGATAGCCCCTGTCTTTGACTCATGTCTGAGAAAATGTTTTAACAGTGACTGCAAACTAAAATTGAACTAGTATAATGTTACCAGGTATTTTCCTCACTATAATAAGTAGTATACAGCACTACTACAGTAATATATTAGTACCACTATAAATGTAGTAAGAATAACCACCAGAAAATGCTGTCTAAAGTACAAAACACAAAAAACACACAAAAAATACAAAATAAATAAAGTAAAACAGTGTGACAAAGAACATAAAGCATGATAAACATTCAAAGTCTGGCTGATTTGAGGCAGACAACTTCACTTATCGTTCGATTTATTAACTAACTGCGCTATGTTTTGATATACTTTGGTTTATCTTTACTTTTCAAGGTAATACCAGCAGATGAAACAGACTTCTTGTCAGTTAATATAAAGTCAAGGCACCACCGCTTTCCAGCCAAAACTTTCAATGACAGTTGGCTACTTCGTTAGCTTAGAGCTAGCTTACGCTAGCAAGCTAGCACGCAGCCAACTCGCTGAAAAGTATCTCACGACCTACCTTTTTTACTTTTTTCACATCCTCCTCCATTTCTATACGATGACTATCGTCCTCATATTCACTTCAGCTTGGAGATCCACGTGAGTCAAGACGCAAGCAGCTTTTAGACGAATCTGGCAGCAGCTAGCTCGCTAAGCTAACGTAGCTTAGCCTTCGCACAGAGATGCTGATAGCCCATCCTAATTCCCTTTTTATCCCGAAGCCCTTTCGTACAGGAAATGCCAGTTTTAGCCTAATCTAAAAGAAAACCTATGTCTCCATATGTTTGGAGCTACTAAGGAAATGTTTTGCTGGAAAAGCAAACTCGAAGAAAACAGTCAAAACTTTTCAACCGTGCCGCCATTTTAGGCGTTGAACTGCTGCGGTCCAGCATCATCGCGACGCGCTTCAACCAAAACAAGCTGCTGCTGATGCTGCTGCTGCTGATGCTGCTGAGGTGCTTCCAGCTGGACGAGCAGTGAGTCAGATAAAGAACAATCATTTACAAAGCTCCTACACTGTTTTAAGAAGTAACGACACGTATGGACTGTTGATCCTTTCCCCCCCTTTGTGTATTATATTAGTTATTAGTTTGCTTTGCTTATGCGTTTCATCCTCATTTTAAAGGAAAAACGTATGATCTAAAATACTTTTAAGCAATCGTTTTATTTATATATTCAAGGACTTTTATTAGTAATCACACTTAGCAGATGAAGTTAGTGTAGTGCTGAAGCTTAAAAGATGAAGCTCCAAGGCATTGTTCATATCTGCCATAACATTAACAGGCATTAATAATAATAAAACATAAATATGAACACAGCAAGTGATCTGCTTTGTTTTAATCGGTTTTCCTTACTTTACTGCCATACCTTTGACTTATTAAATTTACTTTTGCAAACTGCATTAATCCATCCATCCAAACCATCTTCATCCATCCATCCTCCACTTCTTCTTCATTGGATAAAATATCAAATTTACTTCAACACATAATGTTTCGACTAAATTATTTAGCTGTTTATATAAGGAAGACTTTGATCCTATGGTAATTCTAATTTTCTTTATTTGTCATACGCACA